TCATTTTGTTCATGCCACATTTAGGAATCTGGAGTCCTTGTTTTACAAATGCAGGGACAGAGGCTCAGAGAGGAGAAGGACTTGCTGGAGTCCACGCAGGGAATGAAACCCAAATCTTCTGGCTTCTAGGAAAGATTCCTTTAAGTCCTAATGAGGTAATGATGTAAAACCTCTTAATATGAGACTAGAGAGAAAGGGAAGGTGAAGAGAAGGAAGAAGAAGGAGGAGAAGGACTAAGAGGATGAGGAGGTGTGGAATCAGGGATTCACTGGCAGGCAGGGCACGGACAGGTGTAGGGCAACCAGAGACCTTGTGGGGAGGGCGGGGGCGTCTGTTGGGGAAAGGGGAGATGGAGGCTGGGGCCTGACTGGGTTATTTTCAGAGCTGCTATCTTTGTCTGCATCTGCTAAATTATTAAACTGAGATCACATCCTGGAGGGTGCCAGGCCAGGTTGCCAGGAAGAGGCTGAAAGGGAGGGGTTAGATCTCTTAGCAGAGGCCTCAGATCTAGGCCAGGATGGAAGTGCACTCCTCAGGCCTGGACCCCTGCCCCACGCCACACTCAGCCACACTCAGCGGCTGGAGGGGATCCTGCTTGGGGCCACAGCCGCACTTGCCATCCCCTCTGCAAGGCTCTCTGCTGGCTGCTGTCTTGGCAGCGGGTGGATACATATGGACCAGACTCTGGAACCTGGTCCCGTCTGGGCTGCCTCTTCTCTTTCAGGGTCTCCGACTCAGACCACAGGTTTTGAGTCAGATAGATATGATCAGCTTGTGAGATTCTGGGCAAATTCTTGCACCTATGTGTGTCCTTGTCCATGCCATAGATATTAGCAGTTCCATTTCTCAGATGAGGACCCTGAAGTACAGAGAGGAAAAGTGACTTTCTCAGGGTTGCATAGCTAGGAAAGGACTGAACTCTGATTCAAACACAAACCTCTCTGATTTCAGGCCCCTTTCCTCTCTCTATTGCCCAGGCTGCTTTTTTTATAGTCTACTAGATTTTCTACAAAAGGTATGTACTTTATAACTTTTATAAAAATCAGAAAAAAAGTTTTTTTCAATGTTTTTGTTTTTTTTTTTTTGAGACAGGATCTCACTCTGTTGCCTGGGCTAGAGTGCCATAGCATCAGCCTAGCTCACAGCAACCTCAAATTCCTGGGCTCAAGGGATCCTGCTGCCTCAGCCTCCCAAGTAGCTGGGACTACGGTCATGAGCCACTGCACTCGGCCTATTTTGATTTTTTAATAGAAGCCATTGTAACAGTGTGAGGTAGTATCTCATTGTGGTTTTGATTTGCATTTCTCTGATGCTCACCACCATGCCTGGCTAATTTTTTCTATTTTTTAGTAGAGATGGGGTCTTGTTCTTGCTGAGGCTGGTCTCGAAGTCCTAAGCTCAAGGGATTCTCTCACCTTGGCCTCCCAGAGTGCTAGGATTGCAGGTGTGAGCCATCACAGTGGCCTAGTTTTTTCAATTTTAAAAAATATAAAAGATCAGAAAACTACAAAAATCTTTATAGTTTAAAAATCATTCCCACATTTTAAAAACAAAAAACAAAACAAAACAAAACAAAAATCATTCCGAACGTTGCGTTTGCTGGGCTGGCTGTGCACTCATAGATGGTTGGCTGTGGCTCTTGCCCACTCTGGGAGTGTAGAGGTTAGGCCAGTTAAGGAAGCCCGCAAGAGAGCCGGCAGATGCCAAACCTCTCTCACCTCTGGTCCTTGTACATGGCATTCTCATCTGGAATCCTCCCTTCCCCCAACCATCTCTACATCGCTCACTTTGATGCATCTTTCAGGTCTCAGGGTAAATATCACCTCTTATAGGAAACACTGCCTGATCCCCTCCCCACCCGGCTGGGCTCAGTGCTCCATGTTCCCACAGTCTCTGTGCTTTCGCCATCCCAGTAGAAACCTCACTGAACTGCCGCCATCACCTGTCTGTGTCCTCCCAGACTCAACAAGGGCAGGGCCCATCTGATCATTGCTGTACCTCCAGCAGCAAGCATGGCAGAGGAGGTGATGAGCAGTTGTTGAATGAGTGAAATAAAGAATGAATGAATGGGGGCCGGGTGCGGTGGCTCATGCCTGTAATCCTAGCATTCTGGGAGGCCGAGGCGGGCGGATTGTTTGAGCTCAGGAGTTCGAAACCAGCCTGAGCAAGAGCGAGACCCCGTCTCTACTAAAAATAGAAAGAAATTAATCAGACAACTAAAAATATATAGAAAAAAATTAGCTGGGCATGGTGGCGCATGCCTGTAGTCCCAGCTACTCGGGAGGCTGAGGCAGGAGGATCGCTTGAGCCCAGGAGTTTGAGGTTGCTGTGAGCTAGGCTGACGCCACGGCACTCTAGCCCAGGCAAGAGAATGAGATTCTGTCTCAAAAAAAAAACAGAATGAATGAATGGGGAAGGGGGCTTCTCCATCCTCAGCAAGCTCTGTCCTTGTGTGATTTTTCAATTCAAACAAATGTTTATTGAGTGCTTTATGGGGCCAGGCACTCTACTTAACTCTGGGGGACTCTAGTGGAACAGGGAACATTGTCGGAAGATAACAGGGAGGTGAGGGGTGACTTTGGGGTAGGTCAGATCTGTGTTTGAATCCTTTCTTGGCCACTTACTTGCTGTGTGATCTCCTCTGGGCTTTGGTTTCTCATCAGGGAGAAAAAGCTGCTTATCTCCCTCTCTTAGAGACAATGTAAGGAAACAGAGAACATCCATTCATTCGATAAATATACGTCGAGCACCTCCTGCCACTCAGAGAAACTACTTGCCCAAGGTCACCCAGATGGGCAGTGTGCGTGGGTTTTGAATGGAGGCCTGACTGGATCTGTGGATCTGGCCGATGGTGGGGCTGGGGGTAAGTCCTGGTCTTCTGCCCCTTGACTTATTCCCATAGGAGCTGGGAGCAGTGATCTGTCTCATGCAGGCAAAATGCCTGCTAATCTCCCCACATGATGGTGGTGATGGTGGTGGTGGTGGTGGTAGGGCGTCTGCACTGAGACCCAAGGTTGCATGACACAAAGGAGACCATTCAAAGAGATGCCACAATTCAGCAAGGGGATCCTCCTTGCCTCCTGAGCCTTCCTCATCCTTGCTGAGTCCCTTTGGCTCCTTGAGTCCTTCTGCCCCTTCCTGATCCTCCCTTCCCCCACTATGAACCTCCAGCACCTTGGTACCCACTAAACCCCTTCCCCCTCACTGAGTCCCATCACACTCACTGATGGCCCTTCCTTCCCTCGCTGAGACCTCTCCTCCAGTCATCCCCCAAGCCCCTCTCCATCCCCTCCCTGAGTCCTCTCCCTTCTTCTTCACTGAGCCTGGCACCCCTCACCCTCCCACCCACCCTCCTCTCTGAGCCCCTTCTGAGCTGCCTCTCTGGAGCCAAGTTGTCCCACCCATGAGTCCCCATCACTCAGTCTCACTCAATCTAGGGCACGTGAAAACACTTAGAGAACATGTGGAGGGAGGAGGATGAGGATCAGTCCTCCTACTCCTTCTCTTCAACATCAAGCGAGTGCAGCTCCACCATCTGCCTCCTCTTCAGGCAGTTGTCACACGGGCCACACCTTTGGCAGGTCCTCTGGAGCCCAGGGTCTGCTGCAGTCTTTCCCAATCGGCTTCACAGCTGGTTTCTGGCTCTCCCGCCCTTGCCTCCGACCCCCAGAGAGACTTCCCATTTCTGATGGCACCTTCAAAGCAGAGCCACAGTGTGAGGGCAGGTGATTGGAAGGGGTATGGCAGGGTCACTTCTGTTGAGGGGAAAGTAGGCAGGCTCAGTCCTATCATTTTGCCATGGGTAGGAGACCCAGGTATCTGAGCCCCCAGAGGGCATGAATGGCTGAGCTGGTGCATTTCTGTCCAGATTCAGACACCAACCGGCAATGTGACGTTGGGCAAGGCACCACTGCACCTTCTGGGTCTCAGTTTCCCCCTCTGAGTAAAAGGTGTGGGAACACCTGCTGGGAGAAGCAAACAGGAGCAGGGGCAGGGAAGAAACTTTGCACACTGCGGGGTCCAGGGGTCCTCCATGGGGCCACTAAGGTTTTCGGGCTCAGCGGCAGCGCTGTGGAGTTTGTCCCGCAAACGAAGGGACTACTTAGCGTGGAATCAGCCCAGCCAGATCCCCATCCCATTGGCTTTGCCCTAGAGACATGGGGACATGGGAGAAAAGGGTCCTGGTGAGTCCTGTGGCCCAGGAGACCAGGCAGAACTGATTTCACCAAGGGCCAGCGGGAGGTACGGGAAGGAGCACTGCGCAAGCAGTCAAGCCTCCTGAGCTCTAGTCCAGGTTTCACAGTCACACAGAGGGGCCTCAGGCAAATCCGTCCCCCGGGGGGAGACTGGATTCCATGATTTCTAAGCATCAGCTACCAGAGATTATCACTCCAAAGGGCCAGATCAGGGAAGATGCGGCCCCCTTTCCACTCAAAACTTGGGGAGAGGCGGATGGGGACCGCATGCCCTAGCGGGACAGAGCCGGGCGAAGGACAGGTACCCGATAGGGTTTGGGGAATGCCCCGAACACGCGCGGCGGGGGAGGCGGGTTCAGGGCATAGCAGTCTCTGATTGGCTGTGCTGTCCGTCGCTCCGCCCCGTGCTCTATAAGATGCGCGGCGGCTGGTGCGGCGCCGGCGTGGGGGTTGGTGCCGCGTCTCTTCTCAGGTGTGCTGCGTCCCACCTCCCCGCGGACCAGCAGCCGCAAACCGCCGGGGGGGCGGGGGATGCCGGGCTGCCGCATCAGCGCCTGCGGCCCCGGGGCCCAGGAAGGGACGGCCGAACCGGGGTCCCCGCCGCCGCCGCCCCGGGAGCCGCAGCCATCCCCTCAGCCCCCGCCCCCAACTCCGACCTTGACCCCGACCCCGACCCGGGCTCAGGCCCCGCCGCTGCCCGAGGCGGCCCGGGTGTCTGCGGGTGCAGCCGAGAGGCAGGAGCTACAGCGCTGGCGCCAGGGCGCTAGCGTGGGCGCAGGGGTCTCCGGGCCCGGTGGGGGCGCGGCGGCGGCGGGGGCCGGGGGCCGCGCGCTGGAGCTGGCCGAAGCGCGGCGGCGGCTGCTGGAGGTGGAGGGCCGCCGGCGCTTGGTGTCGGAGCTGGAGAGCCGAGTGCTGCAGCTGCACCGCGTTTTCCTGGCTGCCGAGCTGCGCCTGGCTCATCGCGCGGAGAGCCTGGGCCGCCTGAGCGGCGGCGTGGCGCAGGCCGAGCTCTATCTGGCGGCGCACGGGTCACGCCTCAAGAAGGGCCAGCGCCGCGGCCGCCGCGGCCGCCCACCGGCGTTGCTGGCCTCAGCGCTCGGCCTCGGTAGCTGCGTGCCCTGGGGCGCCGGGCGCCTGCGGCGAGGCCACGGCCCGGAGCCAGACTCGCCCTTCCGCCGCAGCCCGCCCCGCGGCCCCGCCTCTCCCCAGCGCTGACTTCCACGCCCGGACCCCTGGCCACCCCGGACAGGCTCATCGCCAAGGTGGGGACCACAGATTGCGGATGCCGGCTGGATGGACGGCGTCACCTGCACGGATGGACAGACTGACCTGCAGGAAGAGACAGTCGGGGGGCCAGGGTCCCTGTAAAGGAGGTTGAGGTGCGGTCTTAGCGGCTGGTACATGTGAGGGGCGGGGTCGGGGGTGGTACAGGACCGGAGATCTCCATTCCCTGGGTCTCCTGGAGTCTGCTGGGTCCCTAATAAAGCTGTCTGCCTCCCACAGACCACCTGGGGAGCGAGGTGGTAGCACCAAATCTCCATTATAGAGTTAGACAAATTGAGGGTGCTCAGATTCCACGAGGGGGTTGTTGGCAAACTTTTACCACTTGGAGCCTGCGGTACTGATGCAGCAACCCCATTCTCACCCCCACTTGCTTTGCCTTTCCCCGGTCTCTTGGGGCTCCTGCTTTCTGGCACCACCCAGCTCCGTACCTTTGGGAGGGCAGAAAAATGAGGTCCCAGAACGGCGTGGGGGCTGGCACAGGGCTCTGTGACTGAGTCCTCCTCCTCTAAGTCCCTCTTTCCCATTTGAGAAGACAGAATCCTAGAGAAATTGAGGATTGGTTCCCATCATACTTAGGCCCTTCTGCTAATGGGAGGCAGACCTTTTCTCGTGCCCTCATGCAGCTTCGCTAAGACTGACGCAGATAACCAGGACGGGGTGTTGGGCACCTACCTAGGGCCCCCCCCCAAGCCTGTCTCTAAGATGGCTCTGCCAGGGATGGAACCAGGTGGCACCCTTTAACAGGCCCCAGGAAGGCAGGTATATTATTGGCTTCCAGAAAGGGAGACCTTAAAGGGCCAGACCTGAGGTGAGATCTGTATCTCTTCCTGTACAAATGCCCTTCAGCCCCCCATTCCTCTGTCCCCACTCAGCTGTGAATGACCTGGCTGCTGCATTGCTGCTCAGCGTCTGAGTCAATCTGTGAAGTGGATCTCGTCACCTCCCAGAAGGGCTGTGGTGAGGTTAACGCAGGGCAGAGGTCTGTCTTATTCCCTCATAAGTCATGGAAAGATATTTTATTCTTTTCAATCACACCTAGAAACAGGCACTGCTTTTGCTGATGGAGCCAGAACTAATTTAAAGTTCTCATTTTACAGAGTGGAGAGGGGATTTCTCAAGGTCACATGCCAGCATAAAGGACAGACTCAGGTCCCAGGCCTGTGTGCGCCCTTCCCACAGTGTCCTGGGTGGGAGCTAGGGAGAGCTGGTCTTTAGCCCCTGTTTGCTGTGTGACCTAGAACAATTCTACCCCCTCTCTGGGCCTGTTTCCTCAGTCCTTCATATCAGGGCTTGGGAATGGGATGAGGGGGGAGGATGATAATGTCAGAGTCATGAGAATCTGGTTTAATCCTACAAGTCCTGAGGATCAGGGATACTGCTCTGACAGGCTGAGCCCCAGGGCTCTCACCTGATCCTTGCCCATCAGCCCTTCCTCTCAACTGAACACCAAACTTTTTGGCTGGTTTCTCAGCTAAGAGCCAGGCCTTCCTAAACCCATTCTTAGCTGGGGAAGGGAGTAGGAGGAAGTCTATGGGCCTCTGGGAAAGCTTGGGGACCAGGGGAGCCATGTGTGTGTATGTATGGGGGGCCGGCATCCTCTGGCCTCCCCAGACAGGACAGACCTTCCAAAACCACTTAGGTCATTTGGGGTCTAGAGGCCCAGAGAGGATAGGGACTTCCTAGAGGTGACACAGAGAGGAGCTCAGACCACAGTGCTGGGCTGCAGCCAGGACTGTTTTCTGGGTTGCACGGGAGGGGGCACCTTGTCCAGAGAAGCTTTTAGCTAATGGTGTAAAGTGCTCTACACCGTCACAGTTTTGCATTTCTCCGGGATTTATTGGTAATCAGCTTTGTCCTGATTTGGGGGTGAGGTGGGCGGGTGGAGAATTAGAGATGACACTGGCTGGAGAAACGGTGTACGTGTGGGGGCAGATGGAGATTGGTCCTGGTGGCAGTTGTGTCCCCTTCCTCCACTTCCGGATGGCCCACTGCTCCTCACCAAGGGCCTTGGCTGGTGCACACAGCACTCACAGACTTGAATCCCAGCTCCTGGTCAGTGCTCTGTCCACCACCCCTCAGCTACCTAACGAAAGTTGCCTTCTCACACCTGTCTGGCTCACCCAGATCCCCCTCTAGAAGCTCCCCAGCCTGGCTCCATTTTCTCCTCATTCAACAAACATTGATAGTGACTCAGTCCAGGAGCTCAGGAAGCAGAGCTGCATCAAAGGGCCTCTCTGCTTTTAAGGGCTTATGTCTCCCAGCCCTCCTCCAGGCAGCCTTCCCTGACTGTCACCATCCTAGGGGACCCCCTAGGACTGGGTAGTTTGTGGTGTTGGAGGGCTATTTTTAGGCCTGCACTAAGAACTCTAGCCCCTGGGCAGGGGACTGTCACTGCCCCTTTCCTCCTATGACTTCTGAAACATTTCTTGATGGCCTCCAGTGCTGGAGACTGGACTGAGTACAGGGATCTTGGGGACCTGTGCACTGAGAATATTGATGGCCACCAGTGAATCTGGGATCTCAACAAAGGCAAATGAGAGGAACAGGAGCCTTTCTTTAGAGTGGCACCTGGTTCAGGGAGGCCAGTTCAGGAACTAGTCTGGAACCCGCCCCTCACCCAGACAACCATATGTGGGCAGCGTCACCAGAGGGCAGTGTGGGGCTGCTTCTTGAGACATGGGGGCGTGGCCTGGAGCAGGTTCGGTCCCCATTGTCCCCGCCTGCAATCATCCCCCTTCCCAGTAGTCCTGGGGCTTCTTGGGCCTTGAGCTGTAGGGATCTGGAAGTAGTGGTAGGTCAGCATGACCCAAGGACGGGGGGTGGCTCCAACAATGGCTTCCTAGTTAGGGCTGGGTTGCAGGCCTGAGCTGCACCCATTACTGGCTCTCTAGGGACTGGGGTCCACTTGGAAAGGGGAGCAAAGGAGGCCCCTTTGGCTGGGCCAAGCCCTGGACCCCAGAGAGAAGGTCCATCAGGTAAGACTTCCTGGAAAGAGAGGTTGCCCTTGTTGCCGGTCACTGTCAGTAAAAGACTAGAGTCATTTCTCTATTCACAGATTTGTTACACCTAATTGATCAGAACACCAGGTCTGCTGCTAGTGGAGACCAAGGTTGCCTCCTAGAGATTAGGTTGAAGTGACAGGACATGACCAAGGTGCTCCAAGCCTGCAGTGGGAAGTGTCTGGGAGGATCCCCTTCCCTGACCCTTTCAGCTGAGTTCCTCTAGACCGACTCAGGTGCCCAGCCTTCTCAGAGCTGAAGGAGAGGCTCCCTGCCTTATGGCCAGCAGGGAGAGAGGATTTGGGAAAGCCTGGAGATCCCCAACCTGTTTCTTTCCACATTAGTCCTTGACCGCACCCTGGCCGGGAGTTATGGGGGAGGGGAACCCTTAGTTCTGGCATAATATATTAATTAACCACCTCCTCTATGCCGGGCGCTGTGCTAAGCACTTTACGCCCATTATCTGGCTCAGTCCTCCCAACCACTCTGCAAAGTAAGGGTTATTATCCCCATTTCCACACATGAGGAAACAGGGAAGGCAGGTGACTTGCCCAAAGACAGAGAACCTATAAGTGGGAGATCCCTCAAGCATCAGGCTATGCAGTGATTCGTTCATCAGACTAATGAGGGCTCCATGTGGGGAGATTTCTGGGCCCCTACCCTTCAAGGCTGTGCGTAGTGATCTCTAGTTGGTTCTGGGGAGGGATGTGATGGGATGCCATTGGGGTGGCAGGAGGTGCCCCCACCTCCCAGAGTCTGGGCACACCCCAGCCTGGTTGTCTGGGCCCTGAGGGGTGAGTCAGTCTGAGTCAGCACACTTGGCCTCTGGTGAGGGTGGGCCAAAGATGCTCAGGGCTCAGGCCTCCCAAGGGCTTGTCTTGGAAGGCTGTCTCCTCTCCCTGCACATCTGGACTGGAAAGTTTGGTGCCAAGGAGAGCAAAGAGCCTGAGGTGGCAGAGGAGGAGGGTGACACACTCCTCCATGGTGGGAGCAGAAAGGGTCCCAGTTGGAACATCACAAGGCCTGGGATTCAGTCCTAGCTTGGAACCTCTCAGCTGAGGGAACTTGCTCAATGGCCTCTTTTCTGAGCTAGCTTCTTCTGTTTGTGTTTTTGTTTTGTATTTTTTAGAAGAGCTAGGGAGGAGATAACCTCTGCGAATTAAATGAGTAGTCACACTAAGTGCCTGGTGCATAGTGGAGATCTGTAAATGATAGAGCCAATCCGCCTGGGCTAGGAGAGGCTGCCAGGACACCCCCGGGCGGCGTGGGCCTTTGCTCCTCTAGAGCATCTCCATATCTGGAGTCCCTGGAGAGGGCCCTGGGGAACTCCATAAGGGGAGAGGTGGAGGAGGGGCAGGCTTTTCATCCCAGGAACATTCCATTCCAGCTGCTCAGACCAGTGGGGATCCCAGCCAAGGACAAAGGCCCAAGGGAACCTCTGCCTCCAGAGCCAGTGGAGCCCCATTCGTAACACTGCCTCTTGCACCTTCTCTCCACAATGGCCCATCTGGAGGCAGAGGTTGAAGCGTTTGGGTGGGGCAGGGTGGCTATGGGAAAGAGGTAATTAAAGCTCTTGGAATTATCCTTTCCAGCTCCTCTCAGCTCCTGAGAGCCTCGACTCTGGCTCTGGACGCCTGGATTCTGCTTCTTCCCTGGGCACCTCCTTCAGGAAGACCTTGAGAATTGACCCTACACAACCTCAGTGCCCTCCTTACGGGATCCCTTCACTTCGCCATGGCAAGGGGCTGGGTCCTGGGTAACGTGTCCGCACTATGAATTTCTTTATATGCGCCACATTTGACTTCGGCTGTGCAATTGGAGATGTTACTACAGGTCCCTGAGATGCAGTCGGATTGCTTAAGAGTGCAGTGAGCATTGCCAATGTGAAATGAAAAGGATTCCTTTTAAAGCTATCGTCATCATTCTTAAGTCACGGCACAGCTGGGGTCCCCGTTTAGGTAGATGTTATTGCTTTGAAGTTTATAGGAGGCCTGTTTGAAGACAAATGGTGGTCTAAGAAGTCCCTCAGTTGCCTTCATCCACTGTCCTTGTTCTCCCTACATGGACCGTGGCTGTGGCCCCTCACACAATCAGCTGGCTCCTGGTGGGGGACACACCTCTTTCCCAGGAAGAGGTGGTGGCAACATAAAACTTCTAAGCAAAGTTTTAAATGAAAAACGGAAACATTTATTCAAATATCCTGATAATAGAGGGAAGAGGGGCACATTTACCCACAACCCAGAACTTGTAGAATTCTGCAAAGTGAATGTATGTTGAATCAGTCCCTTGATTTCTACATTCAGGAAGAATAAATTGCAATAATGTGAGGCATATGCGGTTCTGAGGTTGACTTTGCAAGTGTCCTTGCTGCCTTTCCTTTGTGTGTGTCACAGCTCTTTAAGTTGACAGTTCCTCGGTGGCTTCTGGTTAGTTTCGTTTGGCAATCTGGACCTGTTGACTGGTTGCAGAGTGATTTCTCCCTTGGCCTGGCTCACAGCTGATCCCCCCCACAGGAAGTCTTCTCCATCAAAGAATGAGATAAGGAAGTTCAGGGATGTGAGACTGTGTGACACTGAGGGAGGCTGTGCACATTGGTGACAACATGGCAGCATGGTGGCCAATGGGGATTGTGACTGTGCTGGTGACTGTACAGACCTGTTTGTCAGTCAGGGTCCCAGCAGGACACCTGGCACAGTCAAACTGGGAAGAGTTTTAAAAAGGGACTATCCAGCCTGAGCAAGCGTGAGACCCGTCTCTACTAAAAATAGAAAATTAGCTGGGCAATTAAAAGTAGAAAAAATTAGCCAGGCATGGTGGTACTCGCCTGTAGTCCCAGCTACTCGGGAGGCTGAGCCCAGGAGTCTGAGGTTGCTGTGAGCTAGGCTGACAGCATGGCACTCTAGCCTGGGCAACAGAGTGAGACTCTGACTCCAAAAAAATAAAACAAAAATAAAAAGGGACTATTTCCAAAGGTGTGGGCTGAGATGGTGCAGCCTTCTGGGGCTGGCAACAGTGGGAAGCCTTTACAACTGCTGGGCCTGAAGGGGTGGGGTGAGGCAGCTTGTGGAGAGGGCCCTGACAGGGACAGTGGCCTTTGGGTGAGGGATGTGGCCAACCATGACAGCCTGGTGGGGAGGGAGCAAGAAGAATAAACACCTCCTCCTCCCCCCTTCAGTCTCCTGCTGGGGCCTCTCATTGACAAACCCAACAAGGAAGCCAGGGAACAAGGGAGCCATTGATGCAGAGTCCCTAGATGTCCCCAGCGCCCAGAGCAGGGAGAAGGGGGGAGAGTGGATCTGGAGGGGCCAGCATATCATGTAACTGCTGGAGGTGTGTCTTTTTCCCCAGAGTCCACAGCAATGCTGCTTCCCCCTGAGGAGCTGCCTCCACCCACTGCGCCAGAAGACACGGGTGGATTGTGGCTTGGAGAGCACATGGGATTGGAAGGTGAGGACAGGTTTTCCTCCTAGCCTTCCCCTTGCTGGTTCTCATTCCCAGTTTCTGATTCCTGCCTGTCCTGGTGACTTAGATGGCTACAGGAATTGTCCATGAGCGGAACAATGTCAGCCACTGAGTCAGTGTTTTTCTTACACCCGGAAATACTGCACCACTCCCAGACACACTCAGAGGAATGCTTTTGCTACCTTGGGCCCCAGTCACCACACGCCATGGCTAGTGTCACATGTCCATCAAGAAAATGTATGTCTTGGCACACTGCTTCACTCTGCCATAGTCATATATAAAATGACAAATGTCACAGTAATGTCAAATATGCCGTTGTCACATGTATGTACAGAAGTACTGTCACGATCATCCTGTGAAATCACAGTGTAGGGGCAGGATGGTGCAGGGGCTAACAGCAATGGCTTTGGGATCAGACAAACCTCTTTGACCTCTCTGGTTTGTTTCCACGTCTGTAAGACGGAAATAACACTTCTCTCGTGTGGCATTTTTGCAAGGATGAAATGAGAGATCATGGCTGGGTGTGGTGTCTCACACGTGTAATCCTAGCACTCTGGGAGGCCCAGGCTGGAGGATCACTTGAGGTCAGGAGTTCGAGACCAGCCTGAGCAAGAGCGAGACCCCATCTCTACTAAAAATAGAAAAAATCAGCTGGGCCTGGTGGTGTGCACCTGTAGTCCCAGCTACTCGGGAGGCTGAGGCAGGAGGATTGCCTGAGCCCAGGAGTTTGAGGTTGCTGTGGGCTAGGCTGATGCCATGGCACTCTAGCCGGGGCAACAGAGCAAGATTCTGTCTCAAAAAAAAATAAGATCATGATCACGAAGACCTTGACATAGTGGCTGATCTGGAGTTAAGTATGCCAGGAATGGGGGCTGGTACTGTGAACTCCAGTCTCACATACCCCTAATTCCTCATGCCCGCGTGTGTGTGCGTACCAGCACCAGTGAGCACACACACCCGCATGAGGCCAGCCAGATACGTGTACATTCACAGGCAAGTTGGCTGGGCCTGGAAGGCTCTTTCCCTAGATGTCTTCATGGCTCACTTCCCTTCACCTTTCAATGAGGTGCACCCTGATTTCTCTTTCAACATGCAAAGCCCAGCACTTCCAATCGCTTACCCTGCTATATAGATTTTTACATATCACTGACCTTCTAAGACCATGTAATTTGGTTTCTTTTGTGTCTACCCCATTAGAATGTAATTTTCACAAGGATAGGGATCTCGGACTCTTGTTTGCTGATGTATTCCCAACCCCAGAATGGCATCTGGCACACGGTGGGCTAAATGCAGTGTATGCGCACATGTCCCACATGGCTTTCTGGCTTTTTCACCCCTAAAACAAGCACATCCAGGGGAAACCACTCTCTAGCCCAACAGCCATGCCTGCTGTGTTTACACTGCGAGTACGCCCTCACGCCAAGGCTCGAATGGCCAGCTCAAGTGGTGGGACAGACTTAGTCCTTCCCAGGACCTAGCTGGGTGGGCACAGCTGGGATTGGGGTGGGAGGCTGTTTTCAGTCACCAAACAAAGGAAGCCTTTCCGCCAGCCCTTCTAGCCATTTTGAGCCCAGCAAGAGAAGATGTTAGGGCACCCAGCAGGGACCCACAGAGCAGGTGAGGTGACTGGATTCACCCTGGTGACCTGGGGCCTCTTCTGTGGCCTTGTTTTTTCCACTCTGGCTGGAACCATCAAAGTCACCACTTCAGAGGACCCTAATGAGGCTGAGTCTGTTAAGGGCTTTGCAATCCCTGGATCAAAGAGGCTGAGTAAACAGTGGGCAGCGTCCAGGCCATGACTGACCAGTGCCCTGAGGGAACGGCTCCCTAGGAGCTTGTGGCTGACACTCCCAGATAGCCTGGCATGGCCCCAACTGGGTTTGAAGAGACCCTGTCCCTCCAAGGGATCTGCTTAGAGCAAATCAGGGCATACCTGTCACTTGGGGGTGAGGGAGGGAGCTGGAGGATTGAGGGAGCCTCTCCAGGTAGAGAGACCGTACCTGGACTCAGGCTCTGGGGGACCCTAGAAGTCCCCCAGTCACAGCAGCCATTACTAGAGGGGCCTCCGGTCCAGATTCAGCCAGCTTGTTCTTCAGCTTCCCCCTGGGCAGAGATGGGGTGAGCAGAGCTGTGGTCAAGCAGCCCTGAGCACTGGCGTGTAAGGCCGGTCCAGAGCTATTAGGATTCCAGGTAGAAGACACTGAAATATTTACTCTTTAACAAGAGTCCTAGGCCTGCTGAGGCAACGTACAGGTACAAGTCACGCGTGTAGACACGAACTCCCAGTATACAGTTGTCAGGCTGGGGCTGGTGGGGAGGGAAGGAGGACCAGCTCCCCAGCCACAGCTCAGGCTTCAAACCCCCCCCCCCCACAAATGTCCCCTCCTACAACACAAGCCACGCTCGGACTGGGGGAGGCAGCTACAGCCCCCACAGCCATGGAAGGTCCTTCTCCTGGGAGAAAGCATGGAGCCAGGCTCAGTGTAGACAATCTTTATTGGCAGGTGTTAAGAGTGCAAAACAGCAACAAATCCAGAGGGATAGAGAAGGAGGTGGGGGGTGGCTCCCTTCCCCCATCTGACAGCTTGTAACCAAGCCAGTAGGGTGGGCGCACTTGACTTTACTGTGGCAAATTTGGGCCCAGCACCCTCCAAAGAACAAACTCCAGGCAGGAGGGTTCCTCACAACACAAGGGAAGGGAGCAACACACTGGAAGGGGCCTGGGCTGTGGCCCACCTGGCTGTGGCCCACCTGGGCTGCTGGGCTCCTGTACATGGCACACCTCATTTCACAGCTTGGGTGTGGGTTTCAGGAGACCGGGCTAAACCCACCCCTCTCCAAACCCAGGTATCTGCCTCATGCCTCCATTCTCCTCCTCGCAGTGATGAGCCAGGTTGGACCACCAGGCCCTGTTAGTGGCCCAGCCTGACCCAAAGTGAGTAGTCCCCATAACATACCATATTTTAGCCAATGTGTGGGCTGCAGGCCCTTGGAGGCTGATGGGATCACTGTGCACTGGCTCTAGTCAAAAACACCATGAATTCAACCCTAGGTGTTGGGCACCGAGGCTGCCACCCCGAATCGTTTTGTCTCCTGAGGGCAATTGACTCTCAAGACAAACAGCCTCTGCACCCACAATCATGGTGGTCCCAAAGTGCAGTACTGCCACCAAGGGGTCCTCCTGCCAAGAACCCCAGCTTGCCCTTAAGGCCACAGGGGCCTCATTCGGGGAAGTCTGGTCTGTTCCATTGAAGGCCCAACTCTGCAGCAGTGCTGGGCCACCTGGCACAGGCTGCCTGTCTCTGGTCATGTCCTCCACACACTCCTGGAGGCCCCACCCCACCCTGTTAGGCCCAGGCCCTTCCCTTCTGGCCAGGGTCCAAGTCAGTTACAAGGCAGCCAGGTGGGATAGGAGTGGGCCCGAGCCAGCAGAGGCTGCACAGGGGTCACGTAGTAATTGACAGTGGCTGGCACAACCCCGTCGGGGCCTGGAAGGTGCCAGGCGAGGGCAGCAGTGGCAGCCGGGCCCTGCTCAGCCAGCGCCTGGAGCGCCAGCATGGCAATGAGGTCCAGGGTCTGGCGGCGCTCGTGGTTCATGAGGCACACGGTGCTCTCGTTGACCACCCGGTGCAGCGTCACCAGGCAGGCGTAACGGCGGGCCGCGTCGGCCCCACCAAAGTGGGCCTCCAGGTAGCGCTCCAGGGTGCGCTGCTGCTCTGCCAGGTCTGGGAAGTCGATGAAGAAGCGGGAGCACATGTAGCGCTGCAGGGCCCGCACGTCGGTGCTGGGCCGCGGCCGGAAGCCCCGCACCAGGAGGTGGCAGTACTTGAGGAGGCCGCCACCACGGATCTCCTCGGGGCTGCGCGTAGCAATGACACGGTGCCGCAGGTGCTCCAGGGCCTCAGCAAAGTCCCCGTACAGGCTTTCGCCTGTCACTGTTGGGTGGAAGGCCTCGGACATGGGTGTGGATGAGCACTGGCCAAAGAGCAGCAGCGAGTCCAGGATGATCTGGAAGGAGTCTACGCTGAACTCGAACTGGCGTCTCACGGAGTCCACAAACTTGAGCTCTACGTTCTTGCCGCTGTTGTTGGACAGTGAAATGAGGCTCCAGCGGTCCGTGTCTGTGCACACTTTTACCAGCTTCTGCACATATGCCTCCTTGAGTGTCAATGGTGTGATCTTGGCCCTGCTCACACCGGCAGGCAGGAAGTCTAACAGGCAGGCCAGCACCACTGCCTTGGTCAGCTGGAAGGACGCCTCACTGCGCAGGTCCACCTGGAACACCACGTCCAGGTCCTTGTAGCCCAGGCCACTCTCAGGGTGCAGCACGTGGCTGGCAGCAGAGCCATGCAGCCGCACACTGTGCACTCGTAGTCCCTGTTCCTCCAGGCTGCTGCGGACCACCTGCAGAGAGGAGGGCAGGAGGGAGAGGTGTCAGGAGCCTGCGCCCCGGTGGTCCACTAAAGACTTGTAATTGTCACAGTAACATCAACTGCCGTTGGCCACTAACCAGCTGTTGTGCCTTTGGAAAGTCATTTAACTCTCTAAGCCTTGATTTCCTAATCTGGAGAATGGCCCAATTGGAGCAATGACTCAGAACAGCAATAACCATAGCAAACCCATGTACCGAATTTACTAAGCACCAAGTCCTAATCTGAGCATCAGCACATTAAGATAGAAACTCACTTAATGCTCACAGTAATCCTATTATTCCCACTTTACAGACGGAAGTCCAGAGAGGCCAAGGAACGAGTCCAGAGGCACACAGCTGGTAGATGCAGAGTTAGGAATTAAACTCAGAGTCCAGGTCTTAACTATTAATACTATGCTATTCTACCTCTCTAAAACTGCAAGTAGAAGAGTTTTGTGCCAGGCACTGTGCTAACTGCTCAAATGTTTTTTTTTTTAATATTTTAAAAATTTTCTTAAATTATATATTCATTGCCCAGCTAATTTTTTCTATTTTTAGTAGAGATGGGATCTTGCTCTGGCTCAGGCTGGTCTCGAACTCCTGGACTCAAGCAATCCTCTTGCCTCGGCCTCCCAGAGTGCTCGGATTACAGGTGGGAGCCACCACGCCCAGCCTAACTGCTCAAATGTGTTGGACATATTGTTAGCAGTTCACATTCGTTACCACAGTAACCCTCACAATAATCCTATGTTTGAGTATTATTATTCCAATTTATAAATGGGTGACCTGAGGCACAGAGGTTGAGAAACACGTCCAAGGTCATAGAGCAGCCAGCTTGAGACTAGAACCAGGTTAGTTGGATTCTCAAGTCTACGTGTGTTCTTTTGACTACGATGCACTCATCCTAATTCATCCTTATGAGGATCCAGTGAGGCCAATATACTCATTTTGCAGATGAGGAAATAACTAAGGCTCAGAGGAGAAGCCATTCAGATGAGGCAGGGCTAGCAGTTAAAGCCAGCCCCCCTTGCACTGTTGGGAGAGAGGATGGGTCGAGATCTCAGGAAGGGGCCCACACCAAGTGGGAAGAGATGAAGGACCCTGTCAGAGGGCTGCCCCCAGGTCTGATGGCACAGAAACATGACAGGTAAACCTACAAATCTTCTTGAACCTGTTCCTTTAGCTAGAGGCATCTCCCTGGGCTGAGGCACCAGGTCAGGAGAAGAGTGAAGTTGAGGGTCAGACATTCAGCTTTCTCAGCAACCCGAAGTTGTCCCAGAAGTGAGCAGGCAGCATTCCTGCCCTGAGCGCTTCTGCAACCCCACCTTGCTGCCAAGTCAGCACCCAGCTCCAGGCCGGCTGTCCTTGCCTCCCAGGGAATTACTGCAAAGAATGCACTAAGTGCTGAGGAGGCAAGCGTGGTGGGGCAATCTGAGGCGGGCGGCGCCCTCTAGGAAGACTTCCTGGAGGAGGACCTGTACCAAGGGTCGATATTGTCATGGCAACGGGGGTAAGCAACGGGCCATCAGGAACATGGAGGGGACAGGAGCGGGGAATAGGGGAGGTTAGGCACCTAGTGATTGCCAGGCACTAGACCTTCTACCAGAATCTATGGGGGAAAGATCTTATGATCTCCATGCTACAGATGGGGAAACCGAGGCTCACAGGATGAAGCCACCTGTCCAAGATCATGCAGAGGTGCCTTCAAACTCAGGTATGGCTGACCCCAAAGCCTACCCTCTTTCTACCAAATCATAGCTCTAGGGTTCAGAAGGAGCAGAGGCTAGAGACTAGTTTTCTAATCCTCCTTCCCTTTCAACATGTCAAAGTGAGGGCAACCCTCAAGTCACTGAAGCCCAGAGCTGGAGTAGTTGGGGAGCAGGAGGGTGAGGGTCAGGGGGTGCCTTGGCCAGACAGATAGGGCTAGTTGCTATCTGTCCAGCCTGTGGCACTTCAAACCCCCACGTGTCAGCTGGCAGCAGTGCCTACATGGGCCAAAGACCTTGGTCCAAGGACCCTGCCAGACCTGTAGAAGAGACCAGCCCCGCTCCCCAAGTCCCATTAGAGCTGACTGAGCCTTACTCAGTGCCAGCTCCTGCTCCCAGGCTGGTGCCCACCCCAGGGCATGGCATCTAGCCTGGTGAGTAGGTAGCAGTACCCTCGTTAAATCCCCTGCGTCAGGGCCATGGGGCCAGCTGTGTCAGCCAGCCAGCGGCTGTTGTCTCTTTCCCAGGTGTGACTACAGCCAGTTTGGCAAGCAGTCCCCAGATACTGCCACACCCAAGGACTCAGGGCAGCTTGGAGGCTCCTGAATCAGACTTTCCAGCCATGGAGGGGCAGTGAGTGCACCGCTCTGCTCCAGGCGGCTGCTGAGACCTGCAGGGAGACCAATAGGCATGGTCAGGCAGCAGATTTACACAACTCACAGCCAGTGCCACCTAATGCGGGCCCTCTGGCTACAGCTGCAGAGATCAGATTGTCTAGTTCAATCCTCTGGGCCCACAGAGGGCAAAGGACTTGTCCAAGGTCACACAGCCAATAAGTGGCTGAGCTTAATTAGAACCATGCCTCTGAGAGCTGCAGGCAGAGGGGCCCTCCTACGGGAGGGTGGGTCCCTGTAGCCCAGGTACAAGCAAGAACATCTCCAGCTGCTCAGATTGCAGCTATAGGCAAAGCCTTGTGGGGGTGGAGAGGGAGAAAGGTTTCAATTCTTGAGCCATAGGACAACTCAGCACTGTTGAAAAGTCCAAAGGCAACAACCAGCACCACCCTGCCCCTCCTCCTCGTCTCCCACCACGACACCCACTCCAACAGATTTTGAAGCTGCCAGCTCCAGTTTCCTCTGACTTTCTTCCCTGTGGAGGCAGCTGTACAAGCCAGGTGAAGGCACCTGTTCCCTTTGGACTCTGGAACCAGAAAGGGTGTTGGAAAGCAGCCCAATCTGTCCCAGTTGAACAGATGGGGACATTTATCCCAGCAAAGGGAACTGACAACAGTCCAGGCTGTGAATCCAGATGTCCAACTTCTCACTCCAGCTCTGAAGTCTCCGCCACTCTTCCCCACCATAGCCAACAGCTCCTTGTACTGTGATCTCTCTGACCATGGTCTAGAAGGACAGGGTACTACCATCACATTGTAAAGTCAGCTCTTATTGACCTGTAGTCATCCCCACCTGGCTGGGAGCACCTGAAGGCAAGGAGGGGTCCTAGTCACATCTGTGCCCCTAGTGTACTGACAAGGCTTAGCACAGAGCAGGTACCCGTAAAGGCAGTTTGGACCATACTGACAGGGGCATGGACTGCCCCTCCAGGACACCCCTTGTCCCTGCAGAGGGGAGCTGCCACACTGAGCTTCACCTTCCCCTCCCCTCCATGCTTGGGGCCGCCATCCTGGAGGTGCAGCAGCTGGGGCCCCAGGGTTGACCTGACTGTCCTGGGGAGAAAAGACTAGTTTCCTAATCACCCAGATGACAGTGAGCAGAGCGGCCAAGGAATGCCTCAGTGAGCACCACTGAGCTGCAGTGAGTCAGCCCAGGAGAATCTGCCTGCCCCCACCCCCCTCCCATTCCTTGTTCCTTGGGAGGGAGGGAGAGGTAATCCCCCAGCAGGCACCCCTCCGCCTCTGCTGGAAGCTAAGGTAGGAGGCAGGGGAAAGGCCTTCTTCACCTAGTTTGTATTGGCTGCTTCCCCAGAAAGAAAGTCCATCCGCTGGCAGGGAGTCACAGGAACTGCCCCTGGATTTACTGGTTTCTTTTATCAGGGGACGCCCCTATAACTTAGAAGCTAGGGAGGGAATAGAAAAATCTTGAACCTGCAGTAGTAACTTGTTCCTGGGAAGACCCAGGATTCCCTGGGTTTGGTTTTCACCTTATTAGGTAATCTTAGGTAGCTCACTATCCCTCTTAAGGCCTCAGCTTCTTCAGCTATAAAATGGGTACAATAATTACCATATTCTAGTATTTCAGAAAATGACAGCACCTGGGCTATACAGATGAAAGAGCACTTTGGGGATCGTTGAGGGTCAGGTAAAGGGGGGAGTTGGAGTCTGAAAGGAGGAAGGGGTTTCCAGAATTCTCTTCTGTTTGTCAGGAGAGAGGATGTGGAGCTTGTGGCCTGAGACCTGGGTTGGCCTTCAGTCTTGGGGAGGGAGTACTTGCCAGGATTTCTGGGCTTTTCCTCAGAGGTGCTGTGGGTAGGTGTAGAGGGGAGGTTCTTGAGCCAAGGGCTGTGGGAGCTACAAGGACAGAGTTTGCCCCTAGATTGTAGAGAAAGGGAAGGCGGGGTGAGGTCGAGGGATGCCAACTTGGGGAAGAGTCCAAAAAGCTATTTTGGACCCAAGCATGCACACCTATCTATCCAGGGCTGTCTGGCATTTTTTGTCCTGGCAGGCAGGGTTGTTCTTCCCCTGAGGCTTTCTCCATTCTCCTCCTCTCTCCCAGCCAGGGCCTGGGTGAGTGGTCCGCGGGGAATCAGGGTTTCACAAGAAAGGGGACAGAAAAACCAAATGGGGTAGAATTATTAGATGCAGGGGAAAGAGTTCTGGTCTACCATTAACGCGTTGTGCAATTGTTACAGCTCCTCACGCGGTTCCTCAATTTCCCTAGCTGTCCAGAGAATCAGATTCCAAGTGCCTTCCAGCCGCTAGAGCCTCAGGATAGATCCCCCACACCCCTGCCCAGCGCCCTCTCACCTGCACGATCTGCCGGGGCTGCACGCTCAGCGTGGGGAAGTTGCCGCGCCCGTGAATGGGAATCGGCTCGCTCAGGAGCGCGTCCAGTCGCTTCACCTGTGGCCAGCCCAGCCCGCTCAGGTGCCGTCCGAGGAAGGCCGACGAGACCTCCGGGTCGGGGCCGCCGCCTGCCGGGGCCGCCGTGGCCACCGCCGAGGCCGCAGCCGCCTCCGCCTGCGCAGCCCCCTGATCCTGGCGCTCAGCTCCGCTCTCCGACGGCATCATTCGCCCGGCCTGGGGGCCCGGACGACAGAAACCGGGGGGTGGTTAAGGGGAGGAGGGCAGGGAGAGCGGCTGCGCAGGGGCCAAGGCGGGAGCTGCGGAGGCAGGGACCCGGCGGCCGCGACGGTGAGGCAAACCCAGTGTAAACCTCGGACGGCGACAACTAACCGATCCTAGAGCCCGTAGCCTGGGGCTCTGCTGACTTATAGGCCGCGGGCGACATGCCCATTGGTCCAGGCAGCTGTCACTCAGCGGGAGCCGCCCCGCCTCTCGACGCCCCTGCCATTGGTCAGCAGAGTTTCGCACTTGAGTCTCTGCTCTCTAGGAAGATTCCGATTGGCTGGAAAGCACACCCCTGCCCTGCCCTCCTTCTCAGGTTGAATTCCCTCCTTTGGTCCTTAAAGAACTTCTGTGCACTGTGATTGGCCCGAGTGAGCCTAGACTTAAAGGGACAGCGCCCTCCAGGGGCAGGAGGGAGGGAAGTGATCTGTGGAATTTGGCGGAGTCAGAGCGCTGAGAAATTCCAGATTTTTTTGTTTTTGTTTATGTAGTTTTGTTTTTGCGCTGGAAGAAACTGAGAAATCACCTGCCCTCGTCCTGGTCATCTGCTATTTTCAGAAACCCAAAGAGATAGCGCCACTGCTCAACTCCGCACAGCACTCATGCGCTAGCAGTTTCCAGAGTCAAGGAAGGGTAACAAACTGGGTCTACTGAGGTAGGTGCTTTCTAACACACTCTCTTGACTGGTCCTTGCAAACCACAGCACGGCCAGCATTGAAGAGAAAATCTGCTCAGAGAGGGGGTGTGATTGTCACACAGCAAACTAGTCCAGCCCTGGTGTTGAACCAGGGATCTAGAATCTGTGACATACACTTTCCACAGGACCTGCACAGACCCAGCACCTTTCTGGGGCTAGAGGATGCATGGTATCTTTACATGCTTTTCTCTCACACTTTACAGAGCCTAGAGGAGGCAGCTTATTATTGTTACTCTTAAATTCTTTTTTTCTGGTTTTAAATATATGTGCTGTGGCAAAAGTTCAGAATTGATTCTGATTTATCATTGCAATATTTTATCTTAAATATCATTCTCCTAACATTCTCCCATTCTCCCGAAAGGCAGGCTAGGAAGGAGTCATACACCAATTTACAGAAGGAGAAACTGAGACTTAGAAACAGTCAACTATATCTCAGGGTCACCAGCTTGATTCTGACAGACCTGAGACTAGAATCCAGGAACCTGACTCTGGGAACAGAGCAGCCACTTCCTGTTTCGTGAGGCCAGGCCAAGCAAGACTTTGCCCATGCCCCTTCTCTCTATCTTGTCTGGGATCAGGGGCTTCCTCTGGTCCTCAGGGAGGGGACCCACTGCTTGCTCTAGTCCTTGGCCATGTCACCTTGGGCAAGTCCCTTCCACTGTCCTCAGTGTAGTTGCTTGCTTTGTTTTACCTTCTCTTGAAAGATAAGAAAGAGAAGAAATCTGCTTTGGCTGAGTCCAGAATCTCCAAACCCTTGACCTACCAAGTCTCCCTAAGGCTACTGATGAAAGAGCTTGAAGCTCAACCACAGCATTTTTGTCTTACCTCCACCTCCATGCCTGGGCAGAGGAAGGGGAAAAAAAGGAAACTAACATCTACTGAATACCTACTATGCACCAGATCACTTTACATATGTAACCTTTAACTCCTAAAGATACACCTCAAGATGTGGGATCATTATCCCCAATTTACAGATGAAGAAACCGAGGCTTAGAGAGGTCAAGTGATTTGCCTAAGGTCATACAACCACTAATTGGCAGTATGGGACTCAAATCCAGGTCTTCTGACTCCAGACTCCTATTTTTCAACCACTCCTCTTAGAAGAGTTGGCACAGATTAGAGTTGTGCTTGGCACAGCCCTGGCACTATCCACAAGATCCATCCATTCATTCCTATATCAGCCAACATACATACACTGGGCACCTACTGTGTCTCAGGTGCTGGGCTAGGCCCTGTCCTTCTAGAAATTTTTAATGTAGAGAGACAATAGTCAAGTAAACAAATAAATTAGACATTTCTGATAGTGCTAAGAAGAAAATATAGCCGGGTTATGGGAGACAGAACAACATGTATGAGTGTGAGAGAAAGAGATATAGCAAGACAGAACTAGAGCTACTGATGCACATTTTTAGATGTGTGATCATGAAAGGCCTCCCTAATTAGGTGACATTTCCATCGGGTCTTAGGGATCCACTTCTGCCCCAGGGCAGCAGAGAAGGTGCTAGGCCATATATTCCTAGAACCCTGAAGGCTTGAGCTGGGAGGGCCTTTGACAATCATTTTGTTCACCCTCTTGTCACTTTATAGATGTGGAAACTGGGTAGAAAGCAGGAGGGATTTACCCAAGGGGGACTAGCTAGGCTGGAAACCAGGCAGGGGGCAGAGCCTTGTGGGGACCCCCAATGCTATGCCCACCCTTCACACTTGAATCAAGCTTTCTTCGCTTTTCTTTTCTTTTTTCTTTTTAACATTCAAACTGGCTAGTAGCAAATCAAGTTTTCTAAGGAAGGAAACTCTGAGATCCTTTTCCTCTCTCCTTCCTTACTCCGGACTAGGAAGAGCAATTAACAAATTCATGGGTTGTCAAGTTGTGAATCACCCTTCTGTTGACACTTCCATTCCGAAAGCCCATTGTTTCAGTGTTTGCCCAATCACAGGGCCTGGCCATCACTGCGATGGGGGTGGGAGTGACTTGGGGATGTAGGAAGCTTAGAGAGAGAGCAGGGGTATACCCAGTAGGGTCTTTCATTTTCACCAAGACCAGCTTTTAATTGTCCTAGTGAACGGCACATCCTGAAGAGTCTAGTTGGCTTTCAGATGTTATGTATGAGCCTCCTCCTTACCCCCACCCGGTACTAATTTTCTGTCTTAATTATGACTGATTTCATTTCATTTATTTATTTTTTACTTTAATCACCTTTCTCATTACAAATCCAACTGGTTTTAAAAGGGAACTTATATGATAGTTGAGTCTTAGTGATATAATCACTTTCTCTGTCTGGACCCCACTTTCCTATTCTGTAAAATGGGACTGAAACAGAAGTCGGGCTCTTCCATTCACACCTATGATTTGAGACAGTGGGAAGGGAGAAAGAGTCCTGGGGAGAGTCTTGGTCCCTACATCGGCCCCTCAACTTCGGGACCCCAGACAGGCATTCTATGCCCCAGACAGGCATTCTTCAGGACCCCAGACAGGGAACTGCTGTGTAGCTGTACTACCAGCCTACATCACTGAGTGCCCTCCGTGCCTGGAACCGTGCTAGGCGTTTCCACACAGTCTCTCAATTTTCTGAACATAATCTTACGGCAAAGGAGTGATCTTTTACTTTGCAGGAGTGGAAACTGAGGCTCGGAGAAGCTCAGTAATTTGTGCAGGGCCCCACAGTTGGAAAGAGGGACCTCATACCCAGGTCTGGCTGAATCTAGGCCCTTGCTTTAGCAGGGCCCTGCCTCTGAGGGTGACTTAGTAAGTTAAGTCACACACAGGTGATCTTCCTCCAAGTAGGATCACCCATCCCCTCCTCCTGTGGTTCTTGTCCTCCACCCTACCTCATGCTCATGGCCAAGGTAACGGACCTTATCATTACCAATAATTGTACCCTTACCCCATGTAATTTCAATACCAAGTATCCTGCCCTCCGAATACCACATCCTGCCTTTCCTGCCCACTCCTTGTAGACCCAACTCCAGTGGTTCCTTGACCCACCAGGACCTTCAATCCATTGATCTTTCCATTTTCTGGTCACTGTTTCTTTGTTTCTTTTTTTTTTTTTGAGACAGAGTCTCACTCTGTTGCCCTGGCTAGAGTGAGTGCCGTGGCGTCAGCCTAGCTCACAGCAACCTCAAACTCCTGGGCTCAAGTGATCCTTCTGCCTCAGCCTCCTGAGTAGCTGGGACTACAGGCATGCGCCACCATGCCCGGCTAATTTTTTCTATGTATTTTTAGTTGTCCAGATAATTTCTTTCTATTTTTTTAGTAGAGACAGGGTTTCGCTCTTGCTCAGGCTGGTCTCGAACTCCTGAGCTCAAACAATCCGCCCGCCTCAGCCTCCTAGAGTGCTAGGATTACAGGCCTGAGCCACCACGCCCGGCCTGGTCACTGTTTCTTGCATCCCTCAAGTCCCAACTTTCCTTCTTAACCAGCTTAGATTGCATGGACCATTGCGGTAGTTACGTCCTTGCTATGCTCAACCCCCTTGCTCCGCTCTCATTTAAATTGTATCCACCTGGCAAAACCACGCCCTGGTTAATTCCACACAGCTGACTGAGGCTGGAGACAGACACAGCCTTGCTGACTGGTCTCACTTGAATTTCATGTCCACCAGCCTCCAGGGCGGCCCCTTGGCACTTGCTGTCTGCCAATCCTGCCATATGACCCAGGGTTTTCACTTTCCCATGGTGTGTAGGACCATGTCATGCCTTCTTTCTCCTCTATCCTCCACTCTGCTTCCTACTAAGCAAACAGAAGCCATCCAAAGGACATTTCCTTGGACTCTAAACACCCCTCTACCTGTTCACCTGGGCCTGGGCTTCATTTTCAGCCTCCCTTCCTGTCACTGGGGATGAAGCTACCTGTTCCTCTCTGGGGCTACACCTCCATTTACACATGAGAACCCATCCTTCTCACCTGCTCAAGGCCCTCACTCCAGCCAGTTTCCTTCTCTCCCTGACTGGATCATTCCAATCAGCATGAAAACATCATTTCGTGCATCTCAAAACACCACAACGAAACCAAAAAACCTCTCTTGACTCCAAATCTCCGTCCCCTTCTACCCCATTTATCTATATAGCAAAACTCTTTCAAAGCATCTACCCTTGCCACCTCAGGCTCTCCTGTTCTCTCTTATTTTTTTATTTTTTATTTTTTGAGACAGAGTCTTGCTCTGTTGCCTGGGCTAGAGTCCGTGGCGTCAGCCTAGCTCACAGCAACCTCAGACTCCTGGGCTCAAGCGATCCTTCTGCCTCAGCCTCCCAAGTAGCTGGGACTACAGGCATGC